ATGGATTACGAATGTTGTGAGCAAAGAATTACTTAGCGGAATTGTGTACAAATCTAGTGCTTACAAAATCTGGACTGATTTGAAGGATAAATATGATAAGGTAGATGGATCTCGCATTTTCTTCCTACACAAGGAGATTGCTACTTTGTCGTAGGGAATTTCCTCAGTTTCTGCATATTGTGATTGCCCAGAATCTAAGAACTATTTTGAACATTTTGAGTACCAAAGGCTATTGCAATTCTTAATGGGCTGAATGAAACATATAGTCAGCCTAAGAGTCAGATTTTCATGATGAGTCTTGTTTCCACAATTAACAAAGCCTATTCTATGATAGTTTCTGAAGAAAACCAAAAAGCTTTGGGAAAGTTTTCTCAGACTATAGACATAGGAGATGAAACAACACTATTCACCAACAAATGAAAGAAATCAGGAAACAATTATAAGCCTGGGAGAGGGAATCTATTCTATGAGTATTGCAATTATAAAGGGCACACAAGAGATACCTTCTTCAAACTGCATGGATACCCAGCTGATTTCAAGATGAGGAAGAAAACAACAGGTTTCTCTCAAAGACCTATGGCTAATGCAACTATACAAGATGGACAACAATCAATGAAAAAGCAGATGACCAATACAACTTCACAGGAAGGACAACAAGTGATGAACACACCAACTGCAAATCTAGCACAATGAATGCCAATCATGTTTACTCAGGAGCAATATGATCAAATCTTGAAGTTGATCAATAAAGACACAGGTGAAAATACAGGCTTTGCAGGTACAACAAAGACTCTTGTTACAAATGAAACAGTTAAAAATAAGAATTGGATAGTAGACTCTAATGCAACCAATCATATGGTTCACACCAGAGAACTGTTTGATAAGATAAACACATGCATTCTAGGCAATGCACCAAAGGTATACTTACCTGATGAGACCTCACTTGATGTTGAATGTACTGGAGAGAGAATAATTGGTGAAAACAGTATTGTTAGGAATGTTTTGTGTGTTCCAAATTTTAAATATAACCTGTTGTCTGTGTCCAAACTTACAAGGGACTTAAGATGTTTTATCTCCTTTTATCCTGAATTTTGGATAATGCAGGACCTTCACAGTGGGAGGTGAAGGGAATTGGTAAGGAACTAGAAGGTTTGTACAACTTGTAGCATTAGAAACTTGAAACCAAGGCTGCAAATGTACATCTTCAGGATTATTCTGTGCAAGAGGAGGATTTGAAAGTATGGCATAGAAGACTTGGACATACTCCAGATAGAGTAGTGAAACAGATTCCAAACATGAAGTTCAAAGCTAGTAGAGATGGAATAAAGGAATGCACAGTCTGCCCTTTGGCTAGACAAGGCAGATTGCCTTTCCCTAAGAGTACAAGTAGATCAAATAAACCCTTTCAATTGATTCATGAAGATGTTTGGGGTCCATATAGAGTACAAAGTCATAGTGGACACAGATTTTTCCTTACTATAGTAGATGACTGCAGTAGAATGACATGGATTTACTTACTGAGGATCAAGAGTGATGTAATTGTATGTTTGAGACAATTTTTAGCCTTAATAAAACACTTAATTTGATGTGACTTTGAAAGTACTAATAAGTGATAATGGATCTGAGTTTTTTAATTTTGAATGCAATAACTTGTTTCAGTCTTGTGGAATGATTCACCAGGGTTCCTGTTTTTACACCCTCACAACAAAATGGGGTAGTGGAAAGGAAACAAAGACACATACTGGAAGTGGCTATAGCCATTAGGTTGCAAGGTTTTTGCCTCTCAAATTTTGGGGGAGTGTGTACAATCAACTATCTATGTAATAAATAGGTTGCCTTTATCAGTGTCGTCGGGAAAATCATCCTTTGAGATGCTATATAGAAGAGTGCCATCTTTATAGAATATGAGAACCATAGGATGTCTATGTTTTTCTAAGGCAGTGGAAGAAAGAGACAAATTTGCAACAAGATCAATTGGAGCTGTGTTGATGGGATACTCATCATCCCAAAAGGGATACATATTGTACAACATTTTAACTAACTATTTCTTTGTAAGCAGGGATGTCAGATTTGTGGAGCATATCTTCTCATTCCAATTGCTTAGGAAGGAAAGTTGCAGCTATTTCCTAATGGTGTACTGGACTTTCTAGTTACTACTGATGCAGAACCATCTCAAGGTACAGATGTCCTTGTACAGACAAGTTCACCAGATGATGATACATCCCTTTCAGCAATGCCACCTGATGTAGACAACTATACTGCTGATGCACAACCTTCATCACCACATCCTTTGTCTTTTGAAGACACACAAACTCAGCACACCTTCTTCAGAACAAGATACATTTGTTCCTGTAGTACACCAGTTGAGGAAATCAGCCAGGACTGCTAAAGAGCCTGTGTGGATACAAGATTATGTCGGCGGTGGTTCCTTAACAAGATCAGATGGCAAGCAAATTTGCAAGTACCCAATGTAGAACTATTTGACTCATACAGGATTATTAGCTAAGTATCAATCTTATTTGTCCAAAATCACTAGCATTATGGAGCCTCTGATTTATGAGGAAGCTACACCAGACCCCAAATGGCTTGATGCTATGAATCAAAAGTCGAATGCACTCAAGGATAATAGGACCTGGACTTTGGTAGATTTTCCAATAGGGAAGACTCATATTGGATGCAAGTGGGTGTTCAAGATGAAGTATAAAGTCATTGGTGAGATTGAAAGGTACAAAGAATGACTAGTAGCTAAAGGATACAATCAAATAGAAGGCCTAGACTATCAGGAAACATTTTCTCCTGTAGTCAAAATGATGACAGTCAGAGTAGTCATAGCTTTGGCTGCAGCTAACAACTGGAATTTACATCAAATGGATGTTTATAATGCATTCCTCCAAAGAGACCTCACTGAGGAAGTCTATATGTGTCCACCCCAGGGATTTCCCAGCCAGGGGGAGAAAGTTTGAGGGCTGCATAAATCCTTGTATGGCTTAAAACAGACTTCAAGACAATAAAACCTAAAACTAACTGAGACATTGCTCAATTCAGGCTTTGTGCAGAGTCACTTTGATTATTCTTTGTTCACAAAGAAGCAAGGGACAAAATTAGCAATTATCTTGGTATATGTAGATGTTCTTCTCATAACTGGGAATGATCAAGCACTGATTTCTGAGGCAAAGACCATGCTACAGGGTAACTTCAAGATCAAGGATCTAGGGGTGAAGTTCTTCTTTGGGATTGAGATAGCAAGGTCCAAGGAAGGAATATTGATGAATCAAAGGAAGTTTGCAATAGAGCTAATCACTGATCTTGGATTAGCAGTGTCAAAACCAGTGACAACACCAATGGAATGCAACCAAAGATCCACCATTGTGGAGTATGGTCAACACTTGAACTGGAAAAAAGATGAGAAGCTGGTAGACTTAGGGCCATATCAGAGGTTAGATGGAAAGCTGATATACCTCACCATGACTAGACCAGATATATGTTATGCAGTCCATGTATTAAGTCAGTCCATGCATTGTCCAAAGAAATCCCACATGGAAGATGCTATAAGGGTTGTTAGGTATATCAAAGGAGCTCCAGGTTTGGGGTTGCTGATGAGCTCTAAACAATCCACTAAGTTGACAGCTTTTTGTGATGCTGATTGGATATTATGTTCAGTTTCCAGGAGATCAGTATCAGGATATGTGATGAAATTGGGAAGTTCATTAGTGTCATGGAAGTCCAAGAAACAATGCACAATCTCAAGGAGCTCAGCAGAGGCAGAGTACATGAGCATGGCAGCAGGAGTTGCAGAAATATCATGGTTGACAGGACTTTGTAAAAAGCTGGTTGCAGAAGTTGAACTGCCAGTGGAGCTACACTGTGACAGCAAAGCAGCAATTCAAATTGCTGCAAATCCCATATTTTACGAGCGTACAAAGCACATAGAGATAGACCTGCCCTTCATCAGAGAGAGGATTCAACAAGGAATTGTCAAAATCAAGTATGTGATGTCCAAGGACCAAGAAGCAAATTTGTTCACAAAGGCTTTAGGAAAATCACAACACGAGTACCTAATGAGCAAGCTAGGAGTGCTCAACCTATTTGCACCACCTAGCTTGAGGGGGAGTGTTGAAGAGAGGAATGACACATGATAGCCACGTGAGTTAGTGTAGTTAGTTGGATAGTTAGTTATAACTAATTATAGAATTGGTTGTTAGATAGTTAGTGGAGGTAGTAAGATTGATTAGTGTAGGTGTTAGACATAGTGTATATAAGTATGACACATGTCACTGTATTATTTTTTACAATACAGATTACACAATAATTTCAGCTCATATGCTCTCTAATGAGTTCTCCATTCTAGAACCTTCTGGTTCATCTTATTCTCACCTTCAATTGATCAGTTCTTCGATCTTCATCAGTTACGTTTAAAATTAATTTGGCAGAAATACCTGTACCTTTATTTTTAATTAACTTGGCATCCTTATTTTGCTCCCCGTCCCGTTTGCCGCATTGTATTCCAGTGGTCTTCTCAGCTGTTTCTGTCCACCCTCTCCGATTCTTACCGTCTCCACTTTGAAGGGACCATCATTTTCTCTGAAAAATCCGAAACTAAAAAACTCCTAATTCTAATTGTAAAAATGCGCTAAATGTAGAATAGAATTTAACAAGTTCTAAAAGATGGATATTCAACTCACCTGCTATGGTTCCCGGTGAGGTTGGATGCTATTCTTTTTAATTTTATCCTTTTGTTGCTCATTTCTCCTTTTATGTACATTTGCTATTTTTCTTTTCTTTTTCCAATTCATGTATAGCATACGTGTCCCACTTTGTTATCGTACCGTACATTATTAAGCTAACACAATGACAGTTAAATCAATAGGAGGGTTTGATAATGCAGCTCGACAGGACTTTACAATGTCAATTCGGGGTAAATCTCAGAGCTGCATCTTTTTAGACTGCCTAATTAAGAAGTCTTACAAATAAATCAAAGTTGCTTCCTCACCGCCAGTAATAAGGTTGTAAAAATGAAAATGATTAAGATCAATTCGTGATAAAATTAATATCAATAAGTTATAAAATATTGCGCATAGGCAAAGGTTTTAAGGGGAAGTGCTTGCACCGTTCAGAGTTTTGTCTCCTAGTGTTATTGAACAGTTGGTGGGGCTGTAGCTGATAAAGTAGGACGGAATAAAGCAGCACGGGTCTCTCTAGATCTTATCTATAAATGATTTTTGAAGTTCCAAATTTTTATCAATGGTTTCCAGAAAAACAATGCTCCCTTATCTTTTATTGGTGCTTTTAGCACACGCCAGATGGGTAAGCACAGCAGATCTAGCAAATTGTTCACTAGTTAAAAACATATTCATTTTAGCCGGGCAAAGCAACATTTCCGGTCGAGGCGGCGTGATTAATCACTCTAACCGCCCCGGCGTGGCTAATGAGACGTGGGATGGTGTCATCCCACATGAATGCGAGGCCAACCCATCAATCCTCCGACTCAGCGGAGGACTTAGATGGGTTGAGGCTCAAGAACCCCTTCACAAAGACATAGATGTAAACAACACTTGTGGGATTGGTCCAGGGATGCCATTTGCCAATACAGTTTTGAAGAGGGATCCAAGTGTTGGAGTGATTGGGTTGGTTCCTTGTGCTGTTGGAGGAACGAGTATTACCGAGTGGGCTCCTGGGGGTTTTCTTTACAAGCAGATGATAAAGAGAACAAAGGCGGCCAGTCGATGCGGTGGAAGGGTAAGGGCATTATTGTGGTACCAAGGTGAGAGTGATACAAAGACACTTGAGGATGCCAAAATGTATAAGCGCAGATTGGAGAGCTTCTTCAAGCATGTGCGCCATGATCTGCAATTACCTACTCTCCCTGTGATTCAGGTAACTCATGGAAAGATCTACTACTATTGTTAATTGAAAAAAGACATTCTATATGCAAATAGTAGTTTGAGCTTACTATTCTTGTAGTACTTACTAATTTCATCAATCTTTGTCCCTACACCACATGAAAACTCAAGCTGTGGCCTAGAACATTTGCTCTGTTTTCCTTTTTTGGCGATTGGAATTGAGATTTGGGGGGGAGTTTCTTGTAAGAAAAATATTAAAATAAAAGAAAAGAGTTAAAAAAAGGTGGAATGCTTTCATTAGAAAAGAAACATTGGCACGTTCTAGCTCCTAAAGTTTAAAAGATCCAGTGCAATAATTGCACATGTGATTGGATGGCAAACGGAAGGTCGGGTCGAATATGGTTGGGATCGAAAACGGGTAATATAAATTATTCGATCCGATCCATATTTAATACGGATAAAAAAATAGGTTAACAGATAGATACTATGGATATCCATATCATCCATGATTTCTTGAATATGATCACTTTTGGGAGAATTTCTAGTCTCCCAAAACTTGAGAAACTCCCAATTTGAGGCTTTACAAATATAAAAGTTAAACTAATAAGTTATCCATTGATTATCCACCTTCTAAATGGATAGTATGGTTTTTATACATATTTGATCAGTTTTTAAAAAGTTCATTATTCAACACATTTTTAGTGGATAACTGTTTTCTTTAAACCAGTTTGTCATCCCTACGTGTAATTGTAAGAATAGATATCTTTGAAATGTGTTACTCCAAAGGGATAAGGTGGGTCGTAAGAATTTAATTGGTGCAGGTGGGATTGGCAACAGCACTAGGGCCATACATGGAGTTGGTGAGGAAAGCTCAGCGAGAAATTAATGTTGGGAACGTGAGATATGTGGATGCCAAAGGGCTCCAGGTTGGGCCAGATTATGTGCACCTTACAACTGCTGCACAAATTCAGCTTGGACAGATGCTCGCTGATGCCTTCCTTCGCATTTAGTCAGTGGTGCTTCTTCCTCTTTAGACTAATAGTACTGCTGGTTTGTGACTCTATAAAGAAATTGGGTCAGCTGAAAAATGCAAATTATTTCACAAGAAATCTTCAAGGAGCAAACTAGCCCTTGTTATTCAGTTTTTCCAGATGGAACCATTATTTGTGTTTTCCATATCCGACGCTTTGCTTTTATCATAATTGCTTACATCTTGATAGATTGTTCTAGTAGTATTCATGTAGTTTTCTCAATTGGAGAACTCTTAAAGATTGTTGAATAATATCTCAGAGTTATAATATTAAAAGTGCGCAAGTGGTTTTGGTACTAATTGTCAAGTTATGTAGAGAGAGAGGAATGTTTGCTTGCGATCTCCAGGGGAACCGTTAGAATACTAGAGTGCTAATGGCATGGAAAGAGTTTTCTTCCAAAATAAAAACTCTGGTTGTTGTCTCGCTGCCAAAGTTGTTGTCTTTGGCATAAAAATTACACGGGTGCCCTAGTTGGTCGCCCCCACCATTTAACCTATATCCATTTTTTTTTTAAACTTTTAACTTGTACCCACTTGTTAAATAACTTCAGTCTCATTTCTCCTCCTTCTCCTACTTCTCTTTCGACATCAAATTATACAATAACCTGAGAATGTAATAAGCAATTCCTTGTAAATCGTTCCTCAATGCTCTCTTATTCACAGGGATGAGTGGACATTGAACTATATCAGGAAAAAATAAATATACCAATATAAATAGTGCAAATCTAAAATTTGGTTTAGTTGACGTCTTCCCCGATTGAAGTGCATGATTAACATACCATGTGTTACACCCAATAAGAGCAAAAGGATCACATTCTTTCCCTTTATTATATGCATTACTATAGTCACAAAACACTTCTCTGCCTCCATTTTATGTTAGTGTTCGATAAATATCTGTTAGTTGAATTCGCCTCTATACGTGCAATGAAAACTTCACAATATTTGGAGAATGATATTTTTGTATGACAATGAAATATTCAACGAAAAACATTTTGCTCGCACCAAAAAAGATGGTCCAGCCAAAAACTTCCTTCGATAAAAACTTCGTCAGTTCCAAAACAAAAACTTCAGCTCTAGAGCTGAAGTTCGCCAGTTTCAAAAACAAAAACTTCAGCTCTAGAGCTGAAGTTCGCCAGTTACAAACAAAAACTTCAGCTCTAGAGCTCAACTTCAGGCCCGGCTACTAGAATGCTGAAGTTTTGCGTGATTGTTTTTGCTACTTCAGCCTCATATGCTGAAGTTATGCAAAAAAGCGGGTACACTTGCAAAATTTTTTTACAAAGCGGACACAAATTAAAACGTGACACAAAAAATGGGTATAGATACAAATGCCCGTCTTTGGCAGTAATGATTTGAGTCTGGTATTCTTTGTGATAAAATACGTGGAAACAAAGTAACTAATATCATTATGTGGAATCCTAATTAAGTTATAAGGATAAACTTTCTGAACGAAGATCGTTGGTGGGCGTGATTTCTGAAGTCCTTAGGCCAGATATATATGGTTTATGTCACGACCCAAAATCAACCGTTATGATGGTGCCTATCGTGGAACTAGGTCAGCCTCTATTTAACAATTTATCACAATAAGAATAACTTTGAAATAACAACGGAGGCAGTTAACATTTAAGAAACCTTTTAGAAACAGAATAAATCCAAAAAAATACAATACAATCTAACCCAAAATGGGGTATCACTGAGTATATGAGCGTCTATATCAGAATACAGTCACTATCGTGTCTAGAGAAATAACTGAAAATACAGCTAATGATAAAGAGGGAGAGTCAAGGCCTACGAACGTTGTGCAGCTACCTTGATAGTCTCTGAACTCTGAAGCCTCGATCAGCAACCGCCGTCGTGAACGGAATCGCTTGGATTTGCACACAAAGTGCAGAGATTAATGTGAGTATACCAACTCAGTAAGTAATGAGTCCAAACTTTGGACTGAAAGGTAGTGACGAACTCAACCGGTATAGATAAAAATAGAAATAACTGTACAGAAACGTAGTCATGTTTTCAAATTAAATAGGCAGCTTAACACAGTAAAGTAAAACAGGTATAAAGAATATAACTTCGTTATCTCTACATGACAATGCACATGCTGTATGTGATGCACCATGTTGTCAGCCTCGTGTGCTCACTCTCAAATGCTCAATCATTCGGTACTGTATATGGCCCATACGACCTAGGGAAGATTCATTCCGGAACATATACATCACTAACTATAAGTCACCTAGTATGGTGGAAGGCCAATCCAGCCCTGTGGAGAAGATCCATCTCCAGGTATCAAGTACTTCGGACAAGATCCATGTCCAGGGAAGATCCATCCCCCAATAATATCAACCACGTTCATTGGGGGTGTGTACAAATTCTGCAGGGGCTCCTACAGCCCAAGCGCTATCACAAATCAATATAACTGTTGCGACATGCAGCCTGATCCCGTAATTATCACTCATAATCAGGCTCTCGGCCTCACTCAGCCATCAATCTCTCCAGTCTCCCTCACGGGCTCACAATGTCATGAAAAACTAGTCCGAACAATGATATGATGTATCAATAAATAACAATTGAGACTGAGATATGATATGAAATGCATGTACATGTCTGAGTACGAAATATCAATAAACTCAATGAGATGACAGTAAGAAACGACCATTATGGATCCCAACAGTACCGGCATAAAGCTTAAACATGATATCTAGCAGGATTGACATCTCAATTACTTTATCACATGGTGAAAATACGAATATCAATAAGATAGAGTCACTATACAGTGCCCTGGAATCAACTAGGTCACAATTATCACGGTGCACACCCGCATACCCGTCACTTGGCATGTGCGTCACCTCAATACTAATCACATAACACATAATTTGGGGTTTTGAACACTCAGAACCAAGTTTGAAAGCGTTATTTACCTCAAACCAAGCAAATCTCTACTCTGAAATGCCTTTGCCTCTCAAATCGGTCTCCAAACGTTCTGAATCTAGCCACAAGTAGTACAACACAATCAATAAAGGCTAAAAGGATCAATTCCACAAAAAAAAGTACTAAATCATAGCCAAAATCCGAAATCGTCTCAAACCCGGCCCCCGGGCCCATGTCTCGAAATCCAACAAAAGTCACAAAATCCGAAAGCTCATCCACTCACGAGTCTAACCATACCAAATTTATCAAAATCCGACATCAAATGGTCACCCAAATCCCCAAAATTCATTCTCCAAATCCCTAGCCTCAAACTCCCAAATTTCACCTAACACCACAAGATCTAGGTGGGAAAATCGATAGGGAAACAAGAATTATGATTTTAAAAAATGAGTACAAGAAGCTTACCTCAATAATCCCCTCGAAAATCCTCTCTAAAATCGCCTAAGTTCGAGTCCAAAATGTTGAAATAAGACTAAAATCGTGAACCCTTGTTTTTAAACATTTTGCCCAGGTTGTTCGCACCTGCGGCCCTCTATCCGCATCTGCGGAGTTGCATCTGTGGTAAAATCCCCGCTTATGTGGAAGATTACTTAAACCACTGCCTCTGCTTCAACGATCACCATACAGCATCTGCGCACATCGCAGGTGCAGAAACTACATCGCACATGCGGACCACACTCGCGCATGCGCCCCACTGCCCGCTTCTGCGACCATCGCAAGTGCGGGAAGCCTTCGCACATGCGAACTCTGCCCATATCTTCCCTAGTCGCTTCTACGATCCAAGCCACGCTTCTGCGGGCTCGCACTTGCGGTGCCCACTCTGCATGTGCAGTTACACCAGAAGCAACAACACTTCAGCTTAGGGCTGTTCACGGATCGGATTGGATCGGATTTAGCCTATTTCGGATTCGGATTTCGGATTTCGGATTCTGAAAAGGGCAATCCGAATCCGATCCGAATTAACATTGGATTGGATCGGATTTTAAACTTTGGATCGGATAATTTTTCGGATTGTCGGATCGGATTGTCACAAAAATTTTCAACAATTTAAAGTTCATTCGGTGTCTCTATCTCATCTTCCATATACCAAAACAAACAAAAAAATCAAAATAAAATCAAAAGTTGAAGAATAGAACATGAAATAGACATAAAAGACAGAAGAGAAGAGAAGAGAGGCGGAAGAAAGAGACATAAAATCAAAGTAAAATCGGAAGTTTGAGTCATTGAGACTCTTTTAGTCTTCACTGAAGAGAAGAGAGGTGCAAGAGAGGCGGAAAAATCTAAGTGAGTGAGGGGGTGTGTGAAAAATGAATAAGCATAACCCTAAAATTTTAGTGTGTATTTATATAGGTACATATAATTTCGGATATCGGATCGGATCGGATTAAAATCATACCAATCCGAATCCAATCCGAAAATCCGAAATTTCATAAAACACAATCCGTATCCAATCCGAAAATCCGAAATTTGAAATCCGAAATAGAGTGGATCGGATCGGATTTCGGATATCCGATCCAAATGCACAACCCTACTTCAGCTGCATTCTTCAACTCAAACTCAAGCCATTAACCACCCCGAGGCCCTCGGGACCTCAATCAAACATATCAACAAGTTCCAAAACATTCTACGAACTAGTCGAATCCTCAAATCACTTCAAACAACATCAAAAAATAGAATTACACACGATTTCAAGCCTAATGAACTTCGAAATTTCGAACTTCTACAAACAACGTCAAGACATATCAAATCATGTCCGATTGACCTCAAATTTTGAACACAAGTCCTAAATGACACCACGGACCTAGTCCAACTTCCGGAAATCCAATCCGACTCCGATATCAAAAAGTCCACCCCCGGTTAAACTTTCCAAAATTCCAACTTTCGGCATTTCAAGCCTAATTCTACTACGGACCTCCAAAACACAATCCGAACGCGCTCCGAAGTCCAAAATCACCTAACGGAACTAACAGAACCATCAAAATTCAAATCCAAGGTCGTTCACACATAAGTCAACATCTAGTCAACTTAAGTTCTCATTTCATTCTGACATCACTCCGGACCCGAACCAACTAACCTGGTAAGTCATATTGCAGTTGTAAAACACAAATGAAGCAAAAAATGGGGGGACGGGACTACAACTCTCGAAACGACCGGCTGGGTCGTTACAGTTTACTTCAGGGGAACCATGCAATGAAAAAGTGGAGTTTAAGCATGCTGATTTAAAGATGCATCAGGGCTGGACTACTGGCAAGTGGAACAGATGCCACAATGACTCTTGAAGTTAAACTTCCCAATAAACTTTCCATTCGTATCTGCTTGCTGCTTTCCCTTGCTCCAACTGAGAGCCACTGGCCCTAGAAGTTATTATATTCTGG